TCAACCGAAACAAGTACGACCCCCAACACAAACTTCAACAAACTACGCCCCCCCCCCCTTTGGTACTTGTAGCAACGTTGGGTTGACCCTGCTTTCAAGTGGGCGTGGTTGCCGAGTCGGTTGCATTCACACTTCTTATGCTCTTGACTAGGGCTATCGTTCCACAAAACTAGTGTTGAAGGTAAAACCCTGCTGGATCTCTTGCTTCAACCCCCTTCCATCAAGGGCATTCACTGACGTCATGACAGCCGCAGCGCTCTATAGCCGTTGTGGTCACAACCTTGAGAAGCATCTGCTACGACAGGAAAATTTCTTCTGATTTTGCATTCCTTCGAGAGCTAAACATGCTAAAAAAAAAGCTCGCTATTCTTTTGGCCTATGCTACCAAAAAACGAATCGAAAGCAACAGGTGTTGCTAAGCGTTGGTGTAAGGTAATCAGGAGACTAATAAACTGGTCTCATAGCAGTGACGTTGCCCTGAATTTTGGTTGATTTGGAAGTGTTTCGGGATTTGATCTCCTTCTAATCATCTTATCTGCGTATCGTCAGTATGATACACATTGTACCGCGGATGCACTTGACCGAACCCATATAGTAGGAGAAGGGGCATGAAAATACCTTTCTATTTCTATGTACAGAACTGGATTAATAGCACTCAAACAAACGCGAACCCGATGCTGTTCAGAGTTCTATAAAACGACTCTACTATAAAACTTTACAATAGCGTTCTGCACGGGTTACATCAAAAGAATCTGTCACGGAAATATGGTATAACGTTCGAGCTCAACGAGATCCTCGGTTGATCGTCCACTACGAAGTTTTCCGAAATGTTGGTCGGAAGGGATATTGAATGCTAGAGCTACCTCACCGTCGGAAATGTTCACCATTGAATTGATTGAAAGAGCTACCGACCTCAGATAGTTTCTCCAGGCTGGCGTAATTACTGTCACCTTGAGTTCGTCAACGATGGCAGATGAATTTCATATTTTGAAGACGATGAAGGTGGTAAACAAGCGATAGCTTTTGCACATAGAGGGAATCTCTGGAGAAATTTGTCATAAGCCCACCATTAACGGCGGCACATCTGCGAGTTTGTTGATGCGCGTCATGGGCAAAAAGTTTTTCTCGCTCCCCTCCCCTGCAGACGCCATTCTGAATGCGAAATTTTGTTAGGACATGAAGAGAATCGTGAACTTGTTTCCACTCCTTCTCGGCATTCCGGGAGCAGCTTAGAGGAAAATGAACCTTATTTTTGGGTTTCACGCTGCAATAATGAACGAGAAACATTTTGAAAAGCGCTGCATTTCATGGACCTTTTGGACTTCTGGAATTTTAATATTTCTTGCAAAAAAGCCCTCGTATTTTTTTTCTGAACAGTAACAGTAGCGGCCCTGATAAGCAGAATTGACTATCATAAACGAAAAAAACCAGATTCAAAGAGTCAACAAAAACTTTGAGAACAATTAAACTCTAGTCCTCGTTCAGGCTTGTACCTGGAGGCACGTCGTTGTTTTACATATCCGAAGGTTTATGCCAGTTCGTAGGCCCTCGATTCTGCTATGTCAGGTATGATTATAATGTAATGAATTGTTCTGTCAATATTTGCGCGAACTGTCAATGGCTTGTGGGATGGGAAGGGCAAAAGGGAAGGGAACGTTGTATTGTAGAACGTGCGTGCGATCACCATCGGACCCGAATGTGTACGGATGCTGTTTATATGAGACTGGTTCACAGAGGTTGCCTCCTGGGCGGATCATCGCTGACATAGCTTCAGTACGCATCCGCATATTTTGCATAGATGGGTTATGGTTCAACCACTGCGTTTGGCGAATTCCGGATCCAGTACACTCCTATGCGGTGTTAGACTTCGTCGGTCCTGCCAATCGTGGAGTACAAGCGGTGCGGCAGCGTTGCGAACGATGCACCAGCAACTCGACAGTTTGGAGAAGTAGCGAGGGTCTCCGCGCAACGATGCTGGCCATGTCCAAATACGAGGTGTTTCGCGAGAGTCATTGTAAAAACGCGAGTAAGGATGAGTAAACGTACCAATTGCAACCCGCCTAAGCATTTGCTGGGTTTCAGCGAAGTATGACACGGCTCTCTTTCGTACGACTCTTTCCAGCATTGTCATGGTGAGAGGTAAACCTAGTGCCACCTGACGCAGTGGCCAAAAGCAGCAACAGTGAAGAGAAACAAACTGCAGTCTGCAGATGCGTTAGGGGGGGGGGGCAATGAAGAGGCATACCTACCACTATCGCCTGAGGTGGACTAGACAGGCTTTATGCAGCAAGTGTGCATCTGTCCGCCCAGGATCTCCACCGTCCGTGTGGTACTATGATGAGATGCTCTCTCTATTGACGCTGTTGGTACGCAGGAGTGGGGGACCAGATAACATATTCTTCAGGATATCCGCACTCCCTAGTTTCGAGTGAGGTTTGCCGCTATAGGGTTACTACATAGCGGAATGGTCGACTTCAGAATGCGAGGATTAAGAAATTGTCCTCGGAAATATGAGAGCGTAGCTTCTAAGCTTACAACCAAGATTGACAATAATTTTTGAGTGAAGCTTATAGTGCTGTGCAGGGGCAAGGATATTATAAAGCTTGTACATCCTTTCTGTGTATTACTGTCTTCTTCAACTGCCATCTGAAGTCCCCCTGCGAGTAATACAACAAAAGATGATCCGGAGTATGCAAAGTGCTTATGCAACTTTGTAGATAAAGGGAATGCCGTGAAGGGTGAAGCCGTCATGACTCTAATGCGTACACTTCCCGCAGTCAAGGACATACGTACATTAGGGACTTGTTCAAGACTGGACAGTGCCTGTTTAAGCGGACCTGTGTACCTACAGAAATGCTCGGATTTCTACTCGGATAACATGTGGTACAAGCCAAAGCGAGTTACTCGGAATAAATTAATAATGCGTGTCATTAATCAGTGTGCGCAGTTTCTCAAAAAGGTAATTTGTAAGACTCACAAACTCTTAATAATTATGGTAGTGATTTGGTGCATCCCCGTAATCGTTCTGTATTGAAGTGCAACATACGCCAACTAATGATGAATTATGGGGCATTCGAATAGCCGAACAAGTCAGAGGATAACGCGGGGTACACAACAGTGTTGGAGATTACAAACTTCAGAATTCTGACAGTTTGATTGCTGCGGGCAGCGAATCAGAAGACTACTATACGACATAGATTTTGAAGCAGTACAAGACGACGAAAACTCGTTAGAGCAGAAGCACCAGGTCAGACCCGCGCTTGCAATCCTACCTGAGTGTGGTCGCTGCCGGACATGGCCTTGCTCCACGAGTGAGACATGGGAATTGGTGTTCGTGATTGTTAATAAATTTGCCACATTTGCATTTCCAAAATACTCATCCGAGCGGTGGTGATGTGGTAACTAGAGGGGTCGATACCGCGAGCCTAGTCCCTAGATCAAACTTAGGTCAAATCCAGCTTACGTCAGACAAACTTTATAGGTGATTATTTGTTGCAAGACGCGATAGTTACTACATAAATCACACCAATAAACTTGATTTCGAGAAAAAGTCGTAGTCCACGGGTTAAATCGCCACTAAACTTGTCGCTCGTGGCATGCTCTAAAACATATAAAATAGAAAGGACTCTTGCAGACGGAAAAAGGTTAACTTTTTAGTTACAGCGTCATGCTGCACTTCTATGCGCACACACTGTACAGCATGCTGCTGTCCTTCTCATATGATAACCTACTACGTGCCTACAATTATCAGGCAAGCCGTCAATTGAATTAAAGCAAGCTATCATATTGCGCTCATCTACGGCCGTTTCATTCATACAATGCGATACCAAGTTTTCATGAGTTTAGTAAGAAATTTATTAAATTCAAATTTTTGCTTTTTACTTTTTACCAACCTCAGGTCATGTAAACTACTTCAGTGAATAGTGTGAGGGAAATAACTGTAGACGTTCAAAATTTTTAATTCCACGAATGTATCAAAGCTGCTTCTTCGTCAGATGTTCAAAGTCGCCACAGAAGAAGCCGATTTGATTTGTCTTCCGCAGAGGAAATCTTGCCAGCCTTCTTGACCAGCAATTACAGCCCAAACTATATCGCGGATGCGCCAAATAACAGTAACTTGATCCCAAATGATGCCAGCTTTTCGAAAATTTCAACGATTGGAATAAGCTGCAAGAGATGAGCCACGCGCAGACATAATAAAACCAATTCCTATGCAATCCATCTAAAACGTGCCTCTTGGGCCCACATTAATTTTGGCCGATCAATCGCCATGATCTCATATGATTACTTGGATTACTTGGATTAACTTGGCGACGATTATCAGCGATTGTTCTTGCGCGGGTCCCAACTTCTTTTCCACGATGTTCTATCTTGAGCCAATGTCGTCCAATGGACTAATACCTTAATTGAATTAGAATCGCAAATATTGTTTCTGTGAGCAAGAGAGTCTTGCCATCGCAGAGGGGGCCGACCGCGAGGTCGTTTCCTGTCGCGAGGTTCCCAGCGCACAGTTGTAGTGCTCCAACGTCCGTCGTCTCGCCTAATAAGATGTCCAGCAAAAGTGTGTTTTGCCTTGTCGATATGCGAAATGATATCGCGAACTTTGGACATCGAACGTATGTCTTCGTTGTGTAATCTGGCGATCCGTTGTTGATGTAGGGTTACACCAACCATTCGACGCTCAAGTGAAGCTTGTATCCTTCTTAACTGGTTTTCCGAATTTTTCGAATTTTTCGTTAGGGACCAAGTTTCACTAGCGTAGCTCAGAGCTGGTAGTACTGTGGAGTTGAACAGGGTTGCTCGCAGTTCTTCGTCTCTGGTATTTTCGATCACATTCCTGACTGAATTGTACGTTGCCCAGCCAGCTTTTTTCCTCCTTACTATTTCGCCTTTTAGTCGTTTTTCATGTTAAGCAGTCGGCCAAGATAAACATATTCATCGACATCTTCCAGAGCTTCACCCTGTAGGAAAACAGGATCTCTGTCTGAGTACTCATTCCTCATGCACTTCGTTTTATTCATGTTGATGTTCAAACCGGCTTTTGTTCCTGCTGCATGTAGGTCACTGAGCATTTGTGAAGCTTGTTCTGAAGTTCTTGAGATCAGTACTATGTCATCGGCAAATCTTAGGTGATTTAGATATCTTCCATCAATTTTGATTCCTGTGTCATGCCAATCGCAGTTACGTATTGTAGACTCCAGGCAAGCAGAGAATAGATTCGGGGAAATGGGGTCTCCTTGGCGGACTCCTTTTTCCACAGTCACCTCTAAATCACGAAAGAACGGTCGAAATATTGTGCTACATCCAGAGTAGCATTCACTCAAGATTTTCGTATAACGGAGTTCGACGCCTTGTTCATTGAGAGCTGCTGACCATATCTTTTCTCGCTCTCGCTCTACTGAATCGAATGCTTTTCGATAGTCAATGAACGTTAGTATCAGTGGTTCGTGATATTCTCGAGCAGCTTCAATAATTCTACAGCAGGTGATAATGTGATCCAAAGTGCTGAACTTTCGTCGAAATCCTGCCTGTTCAATTGGCTGAGCTTCGTCTAGTTTCTTTCTAACTCGAGCAAGAAGGCATCGCGTAAACACTTTGTATATCACTGGTAGGAGCGTGATTGGTCGATAGTTCTCCAAGTCTTCCTTATCTCCTTTTTTAAAGAGCAGAATTGTTTTGGATTTTCTCCATGCGGCCGGAACTTCGCATTCTTGAACGTAACGAGTGAAACGTTGAGCTAAAGCACAATAAACTTTATGACCGCATGCTTGTAAGGCCTCCAAGGATAAACCATCAGCTCCTGGAGCTCTTCCTCTCGGCATTGTTTCGATTGCGCAACGAACTTCTGATGGTAAAAACGATGGCACCGTTTCGCCAATTGGTAACTGTTCAGTGGAGGTGCCGTGATCTGATTTGAAAAGGTTTGAATAGAAATTCGTCAGTATCGATTCCATTTGTGGCCGAGACGTAGTTCTTAATCCATCGGGACCTTTCAGACAAGAAATCGTTAGGCGGTATTGTGCCATCTCTCGCTTTGTTTTCTTCATGCTACGTTTGCTGGATGCGGCTTCAGGTTGTACAAGACGGCCTGGAATTGGTTTCAATGATCAAAAACTTAAAAATGAGAACCAAAGACAAAAATCTCACAAGCCGCGTCGTCTTAACATCGTTCCCTAAAGTACAATACTTTGTAGAGAAAAATTCTTGCGTTCTCTCTCAACATGAAAATATCAGTTGTGATCACTGGGAACAGCACACAGAGTTTCACGCATGAAGATTCGGTTCCGGAGAGAAGCAAACTTACAAAAACTACACTCTGTGGAAACGAAGGTAAGAGGCGCGGAGCAAACGGGCGAGGCCATGGATAGAATGAGGCGCGCTACGCTATCAGGCGACACAATGAAAGAATCGGGGTGAAGCGTGCAATTTTGGGAGAGTAGAGGACAAATCGATCGATAGAATAGGATGTAGTGGAATGTGTGAGATGTAAATGCAATAAGTCAAAAGGTCAGAAAGTTTCCTAGTGAAGGCACCAATAACCATGTGGAAGGACTCCGGTCGCCAGGCATTTTATTGAAGATTACCGGCGCGGTACTTTAACGCAAATAGCCTGTTTAAATTATTTTGTTAAAATTTTTCACCAAAAACCAAATGCCATTTTTCTGTTTACTCCTTCGTATCCAGAACCTCTGGCAATTATATAATACTTATGATATAAGCGTAGGATAACTGTTGAATTCATTGCATCTCCGGTCACTGCACGGTCGGATGTAATGGCTTTTTGTCAGAGCATCCCGTGATCCGCGACTGGATTCAGCTCCTTAAAATGTCGTCCAACATTCATGAGCAGATTCCCAAATTTTTGGTTAGTTATCGTTCAGAGGAAAAATTCACATGGAAAATAAAATGATATGGCCAAATAGTAGGCAATTCTATACAGACCAAAAGCTGCATACCGAAGTTAAAGTAATCACGGCGTCAGCAATCTAGTAGTTGTTCTATGACGAGGGACATGAAGTTTCAGAAGTTTCCATAAAGCCGATAGAGAGGATTTGATACCTATAATTTTCCAGTTAGGAAGGTCCGATGACGGTGGGATTTTGAGTATAACAGCAAATGGGAGTGATTGCATAACCGAGGTACCTGCCGGTTCACAATAGTCTTCAGGATTAGAGGAAGGGAAGTGTTTACCACTTCCATTTCAGTTGCGTCAGATTTTTGAACCAACATTCCACGAAGGAAGTACTTCAAACTTTCCATTAGTGCCAATTCTTGCGTCAGTTGTTTACTGGTTGGAGCGATTTATTCATACAAAATTTGGTATTTTGGAGTCGAAAAAATGTGGTGATGCCCCCTTCTAGGAACATAACACATTTATTTTCATAATGATTCGGCCAAAAAATTAGCCCAAAGATGTATTTACTTCGATGGAAATAATATCTACAAATATTTGACCTGTGAGAGTATTTATTTAGACTTTATTTTTGAGTGCACGCAATCAGGCACTTCCTAATGAAGTAATACTAGAATGGGCCTTTGCTCGCATTTGCTTGCCCATCTTCAATGCATATCATTCAGGTGCTCTTCAGTTTCGCCGATGATCCTCCTGAACTTGTTGTGCCGTTGTTGCACTCCAAGTATCCTCAATACAACCTTACAGGACTAACGGTCACAGGCAATTTGAGCGTTTTCGAATGGAGAGTGCTAGGCACTATATTACATATGACATTGCCGATCACGCCTGTTTACATATGTATTTTGGCGTTACGGAGAGGTATTGTTCGACATTTAGTCGATGCTGTAATGTCTTCAAAAACGAGAAACTTGCACCGTCAGCTGCTAACGGTGGGTTGTTTTGACCACTAACAACATGGAATGTATCAGAGAGGGTGTCTTTTTTAGATTAATACGAGGCTAAGGAATGATATTAATTTCAGGCTCTTACCTGGCAAGCACTTTTGCCATTGCTGTACCTCCTTGCAGTGCTTTCTTACGCTTGCGGTCAGCTTGGTATTTATAACCATCCACTGCTCGAACATTCAACATTTATTATAGCTGGTTTCATTCCCACACTCAGTCCGATTTCTTCATTATACTTTGTCCGACACTATCGTGATCGTCTACGCTGGGTATTTCTCCGACGTTCCTCTATCTTGAAGGAGTCAAATTCGAGAGAATTCTCAACATTGCGGGATTCGCAATCATACACTCGCACTCGTACAATGTCATTGGGGAAATAGATGGCGTTATCTCATAATAGTCATCCTCTGTAACTCCCACGAAACATTCGAAAAATTGAACTGTATGTGCTCGATCAACATGTAGATCGGGCCGAATCGTCGCACTCCTAGACCAGTTTGAAAGCGACAGCAGTTTAAAAGCGACAGCGACCCATCAAATTTCTGTGGACTGTCATACGTTGCAGATAATGAAATGCGAAATTTCCAGAATAAGTTGAAAAATCGATACAAAATTGTTATTTCAGAACATTAAAGTGAGCAGAGCACTGGCGAAAATGTTGTAGCAAGTTCAGTTGACACTATTTGTTATCTTTTACAATTTTCAAATCAAATGCTCGCATTCTTTCTCCCATCGATCTCGCTTCCGACCAAGCAAGGATCAAGTAAACCACGGGTCATGAAATCATGCACTGGTTGTGTAGAAAACCTGTGCTTCCTCTGCCTCCCTCTTCACTAAAGGTTTTCTTCGCATTGCGCTCCGTTAGTGGCATACTCAAATTCCACATTTATCACAGTTACACTATCAAGACAGATTCTTTTAAAAATTGATTCTCTATCACTTAAAGAACTTACCTGAAATCTCATTCCAACCGTGATCTCGTTAGCTACGGGTAGAGCAATATCTTTAAGGTTTGCGTTCATTGTACTGTAATTTTCACACCATTTCGCTTGTTATTTCAGTGATGCTTTCTATCCACAATATCACTCATTGTTCGTTGCTCAGTTGTTAATGCGTGCATGAAAATTTGCCTCGATTTGCATGATCCCAGAACATCTCCAATATTGTTTTCGAGTCTTCGAAATGTACAATAAAAATTTAGACATCGGTTTCGGTAATATTCATCGTCACATGAAAATAATCGTTCCCAGTGAAACTCGAAAAATACAAAATCCAGGGCGTGCTTACGATTCCTGATAGGCACCCCAGAAATTGATAATTTGGTTTGATGGGGATTGGGTTCGGTGAGTTGTTGGACACATATCCTTAGAATTGCTGGACATGTTCTTTGCTGTCCAGAATATCAGAATATCGGGTACCTCGAACGTTTCTTTCGTATTTTTTGTTGGCGGCGTACCACATCTCTTTCACGAATGCTCAATTCGCATTTTGCTTCCTAATGCGATTCATCATTTACTCAGTAGTTCCCCCTGTTTGGACAAAGGAAAAGTGAGCGCGTTTAGCCTGTAGACCTCGCATCGGCCATTTTCGTTCAATGTGAAGTCCATGCTCAGGAACTCGAAAAGCCCATGGAGGACAATTTCTGAGCAAATCCAGATTTAGATCTAGTTTCTAATAGAAGGCTAGTATTTGGAGTTGCATCCTTTTGATAGGAATCCTCAAGTTAACCCATCTTCGATAACGGATCATCTGTTGTATTTGAAAAATATCATTAAAATCTCGGAAATGAAATGTGAACAAAATAGCCAGGCACTGAGTTTTTCAGAACTACGACAAAAATTACCTACCAGTTGCTCAAAGCCAAGACGGCAGCAGGCAGTGTCTGTATATAGCACTGTAGGCATGTGCAGCCGCAAGCATGTAGCAAATGAATTTGCTAGGAACTCCTCGCATACTCTTTATATTTGTAAATACTACCGACAAAAATTACCCTACCGTTGCTCAAGCCAGACTAGAGCTCCCATCGGAGTTGGTAGCTTTGTAGGTACGTGGAATCTACCGATTTTTTGTTGAATTGTTGATTCATAGCTCCGAATTGACTGCATTTTTGAAGTTCATTTGCTTTGGGACTTAAAGGAATCTTCCACGGACCATGGACCAGTGGGCGGGACCGGAAGTTTTTGTGACGAAATGCATGGTAGGTACGGATCCACGTGTCGAACGCACGAACGTGAACAGGATTCACTTCAAACCTTCCCATGAACGTGGATCCGTACCTACCATGCATTTCGTCGCAAAACCACTTCCGGTCCCGCCCACTGGTCCATGGTCCGTGGAAGATTCCTTTAAGAAAGAAGCTCATTACCAGTTTGCGGCAGTGTCTGTATATAGCACTGTGGGCATGTGCAGCCGCAAGCATGTAGCAAATGAATTTGCTAGGAACCCCTCGCATACTCTTTATATATGTAAATACAGCTGGAGCTCATTCGTATGTAGTTATGGGAAGGCTTTTTTTCGACCATAATGCAGCAAAAGCAAGATAGAGAACCCGCCAAGACGACGATCTCATAAACTCTCACCCATGAGCCCGGATAACTGTCGCTGCACTGTTTTGTTTCAAGATTACGTTTAGACAATCTTTCCGCAGTTTTGAAAGCAGATTTAATCGCCGAGCAACGTCTGAAAACAGGTTCCAGGGTAAACGTCTTCTGAATATGACCACATCGATCCTAAACACCTAACTGGCCAATCCTCAATAAACATCAAATGAAGATCATTCAGAAGCATTATCTTCCCGAATTGTTGGGGCGTTCAATGTTCTTCTCAGAAACATTGTTTGATATCTGTGTTTGGCTTCATTCTCCACTTTGTTTAAACTAAATCATATTCAACGACTTTAATCGAAATAAAAAGAAAAGAAGAAGGCTGAATAATATTACATTTAACAACGTGGTTGCAATTTACACTTCTGTTCTGTATGGATGAACTCTGCTAAAGTTCATTCATGTGCGAACGTTGAAATTGTGAACAATCAAAGGGCAGCGGAGGGATAAGACCGAAGGTGAAAGCGTGAAAGTGGTAGCAGCACTAGAAGGGACTGTCCGTAAGTACACGAAGCGGGCAAGGGGCTGATATATTTGGAAAGTTTCCAATCATAGGAAACAACGAAATTAAAGTAAGTAGAGAACTAAAAAGAGAAGTCGGATAATTTGGTAATCCTAAAGAGGATTACGCTTTGACTTATACGTCTGCGTCCACATGTATCTTGGCTCAAACAAAACAGCTTAAATTGAAATATAAGCCGTCAGAATCTGCGAACCTCTCTGATTAAGGTATTCTCTCACTCGGTTAGGAGTTCAGAAACCCGAAGCTTTGGAAGCGATGCTGATGAGCGATCAGCGATTTGTTCCAGCATCGCGATGAGTTTTGTAGCATTTCTCTGTGAGAGGGCCTCGAGGTTCTCGAAAAAGTTACTCTAGGTAAGAGGTCTAGTGAGTGAAATGTTCGCAGGGTGATTCCGCAGACCTGCTGATTTACAAAGCCTCATAGGCTGTAATGAAGAAGTTCTACAAGTAAACGAGTCACCTTTATTGCGTAAAACAAGCTAGGTTCCTGAGCGAAAAACCTTTGGCTGGCTCTTCGGCGACGTCCGATATCCGACCACCACCTCATCATCTTCAAGCCCTCGTTTTCGTTGCATGAAATTCTGGACTACTA